ATGTAATAAAACCTTTTCCTTAGATTTAATTTCTTGATATAGATTTCTGAGAAGTAGTGTTCATTTTAACACCCAACAGTTTTAAAGCCCCCTACCTGGTATGTCAGAATTAGCACAGCAGTTCATCACAGGGGCAAAAATCCTACTATCCTATCACATACCAATTTATAAAGCTTTTCTTCTTTAAGTAACTCAATGATTGGCTAGTAAAGTTCAAAAGGAAAGAGAATCAGGAAAATAAAAATTTGCATATATAAAACAGAATACCACTGGCTTAATTTCAGCTGGAATGATTTTTTTCTTATTTTAACAAGRGGCTCACAATACTCAGGTAATCAAAAAGAAGCTTCCCCCAACTGGATTTTATTTATTTTTTTAATCAATCTTAGATCTAGAATTTAGCTTCCTAAAAGCCTAGTGCAGAATAGATTTCCTTAAAAACTATTTCTGGGATAGTGATGTGGTTCGCTGGCAGAGCACTTGCCTAGCAAGAAAAAAGCCCTGGCTTCTAGCCCCAGAATTGCCAAAACAAAACATTCTTTTAATCTAGTTATCAGGAGATCCCTTCCCTAACTTCAATGACTCCTTGAATGTAYCTTTGAGAGCTCTAATATTTTTTTCCTTCTTTCATTTTTAAAGTTAGATAACCAAATATATTTAGTATGCTACTAGTGAAACTGGCTAATAAGAATGACAGCCTCCTTCAATTCCCACTGCCTACATGCTGAGCTTACATCTTTGATCTGAACTGTAAACTCTTTTTCATCCATGCCTCGACGAAGTTTGGTGAACTGAGCTGCTGCTGTGGTGACTGCAGATGCTTCTTCCTCTGCCATGGAAGCTGCACTGCTACTTCGTGGTGTGGGGACAGGAGAGTCACCATATTCTCCTGGAGTCAATGAGGGACTGTCTAGTAAGTGGTTGCCTGGCCCCAAAATTCCTCCTGTTATCATTTCTTGGGTCCTGCGGTTAGAAGGCCATTTCCCTGAGAGTATAGCCTGGCAGACGAGGTCAATTCTGTTTATCAAGACACGATCCTGAGTGGGAAGAAAAGAAATAAACACCATTTTAAGGGTCTGAGCACTATGTAATCCTCTGACATACAACAATGCCATCATTACTAGGATGGGTAAAAATCATAAGGCAGAAAGAAGGGTGGTTGTAATATCAGATCCCTAAAGCAACCAGAAGGAGTTTCACGAAAAAACATGCAGCATTAGTCATAGTAAAAATAACAAAACAACTCAAAACCCAGAACCATGTTCCTTGTATACAATGTTACATTTTACTTCTGACTCTAGCATGTTCAAGGATTAAGCTGTTACCTTGGGCCACTCAGAAGCTCTTTGCCTTTCCTGTAGTAGCAGAAGCTCAGGTGTCATTTGTTCTCCATCTTCATTTGGAAATCCATCTTGGGACATAGTGAGGGACAGGAGACTCTCTTCATCATAGAGTTTGGGGTGGGACCGGTCAGCAGCTAGAGATCACACAGAACATGTGAGCAAATATGGCAGAATAATGTTAAATTGGAATGGTATTGTGTGGGCTTTGAATAAAGGCCCAAAGAATAACAGATCTCTTTTGACATTTTATCAACTCAAAATGTGAATCTCTCTCAAGAGGATGCATTCAGAAAAGAAAGAAAAGAGCAGAGGGGGAAAAAGGGAAGAGTTCCAACAGCCTGTCACATGCACTCACTTAGCTTCTCTTCCTTCTCGTCCTCACTCTCATCAGTGCTGGAGCTGGAGCTGGATGAGGATGAGGAAGAAGAGGATGATGGTGACAGCTTGCTCAAGTCCAATTCAGAGTCTGAATCATCCTCATCCTCCAGTTTGACTGGTGGAACACTCCGGGACACCAGAGGGGAAGTGTCAGAGGGGGTTACTCGCATCTCATAGTCTTGTGGGATTGGTCGGCTCCTGGCCACGACCTCATGCTCTAGTTTTAAAGTCAGACTCTCCAGACTGGGGACCTGGGCAGCTGTCTCCTCTGGCGACTTTTCAACAGGAGCATCTGGGCGCAGAGGCAATGGTGAGGCAGTGCGCGAGGTATACTGTTGGTGTAGCAGTGGAGTAGAGCAGCGTGATAGGGATGCAGCTGGTGCTCCTGCCTGATGGTTCTGCATATAATTCATACGGGCAGCCAGAAAAGAGAAGTCTGGGTCCTGCATGATGTTGCAGTCTGTTTGGCTCACCCCATGGCGGGCTGCCCCTCGTAGAAGCTCTCCATCATGACGAATAGGCTCCCACCATTTGGGCAATTCAGGACCTGGAGGCTGACACAATGCCAGTCTATCTTCCAAAAGCGGGTGGCATAGAACTTGTTCCCTTAAGCGCCGAAGCAACTCGATTCGGTACAGAGTCCTCGAGGCCCTCTCCTCTGTGATGGGCTCAATGAACAGATTTGGGTCTGGGGGTTCTGTAAAATAGGAGTAGAAAGAGAAGTGAACCAGAGCTGTTCTACAGCCATTCACTACCACTCACCCTAGACTCTCCAATCTCACCATCTCCAGCTGCTGGGGGAAGGCGGCATACTTGACGGCACATGGCCACAAAACCATGGAAATACTTGGTAAGGCTTTCATCTGTTTTTTTGTCCAGTCGAGCAAAAGTGCGGAAGCGATCCCAGTGGAACTGCATAGCATCAGGGTCATATTCCACACCAAAAGTAGAAACTACTCGATAGAAATCAGTTTGTTCACGCCTTGTCCAGCTACAAAAGGAAGAGGAGTAAGGCAACAGTGATTAGGGGAACTAGGGAAAACTGGTTGTTACTTTGAATGGTTTACAATACCTGAAAATACACAGGCAAACAAACCAACCAAAAAGAAGATTCAGAAGAGGCAGTGAGAGGTACTATATAACATGTAGAAAATACCAAACAAAGAAAGGGGGAAAATAACACAGGCAATTAACTCAAAGAGAATGTCTACACAAGAGACCCTTCTGGGGTTATTATATTCCACATAAGTGAGATTCTCAAGAGCCAGAGGTGGAACAATTCAAGGCAAAGATGATCCATCCTTTTGTATTTTTTTTTTTTAATTTATAGCTCAGCTCAAATTTTCAGCTATGGTTTACCGTTGTTGTTTCTCTCGCCGTGCAATTTCTTTTAGCTTAAAAGCTGCTTCACAACGCCTCCGTCTCCGGTCCCCACGCTCTGCAGCCTCAATTTTCATTTGTTCTCTCTTGTAGCTGCGCTGATATGCTGTTACTAGGCGCCGAAGCCTAGCTGTTAGGGCAGACCCTGGAGGCCAAAACAGATGTCCTGGTTGTTGAGTCACCTGGGCTGTGGTAAAAAAACAAAACAAAACAACAACMACAAAAACACAGAATAATGAGTAGGAAGAACAGAAAAGATATTAGAGATAATACTTATATGTCAGCCCACTCAAAGTCAATGCTCTTAGAAATTCCCAGACAGGATAAAATCCAGTCAATAATTCCTCATCTCCAACCCCACCCAAAACTGTACCACGTGACCTACAAGTTTACCTTCATCTCCATCGATCACTGAGATCTCTTCATCCATCATCATCAAGGGATCACCCTAGAAAAGGAGATGCAAACCACAGGATGGAGTGGACAGAAAAAGGGGGAAAATTAGAATTCTGAAATCATTTTCTTATGGATGTCCTTCTGTGGCATCAAGGAATCAAAAAATTTTTCATTTTCTTTCTTTCGTGTTGCTTGGAATTAAACCTAGGACCTCATGTATGCTAGGCAAATGCTCTACAACAACACTAAATCCTCTCAAATTCTTTGGTACCAGGGATTAAACCCAAGGGTGTTTAACCATTGAGCCATATCTCAGTCCTTTAAATAAATTTTTTATTTTGAGACAGGGTCTTGTTAAATCGCTGAGGCTGGTTGTAAATTTGTGACCTCCTGCCTCAGCCTCCTAAGTCTCTGGGATTGCAGGGGTATGACACMATACACGATTCCCTCAAGAAAAATTGCTAATGAAAGGAGCCCTCACAAAAATTTAGAAGCAACCAACTATAAAAAGAACAGGAAAGTAAAACTTGAAAGATCAGTTCTTATCAATGGTACAAAGATAATGAGATTTAGGAATTTACATGTAAGTAATATCCTTTAACATACAGTTTGAGGCCACCTCCTCCACAAAGCTATCCCAGATCTTCCCACATTGGCATTTTATAATGCTTCTCTATTCATTCTTTATAGTGTCAAATGGTATCTAATTTCTATTATAAATTAATCAAAAAAACTTAAAAAAGATTTAAAGAACGGGAGAGGACAACTATTTACAGTAGAGAAAAGCTAGATTAAATGAAAATTACTTACCTCATCATCTTGGTCCTTTGGGGGGCCCTGGAGTGGTTTATATTCCGGATCTTCACAATCCTTATCAAAGTCAACCCTAATATTATTAAGAGGCAAAAGAAAATGTTAATAAAGCAATAAGAAGAACCTAGGATAAAGATCTGGCCAAACATGTAATTTGCTACGGAACAGTTTTTAATATAATGCTTGAAGAATGACAGATCATTTCTGAGAAAATGGCAAAGTGCCATTCATAACTTCTTGAATTTGAAATACWTTTTCTTTCTTTGGTTAAATATAGGTTAACACTATGTTATCCAGATTGGTCTCAAACCTGTGGGTTCACATGATCATCCTGTATCAGCCTCTGAAATAGCAGAGACTACAAGCATGCAACACCATGCTTAGCTTAAAATGAAATASTTTGATCAGAATACTCTCTTTTGATAGCCCCTTTTCATTCTCCTCCCTCTCTTCCATAATGTTCATTTATTATTTCATTTGAATGGTCCATGCTTTTGTTTGTTTTCACTACTTTGTTCTATTGAGCAGAAGGGTGACATAATAAGTGATTTGCAATGAATAAATGACCAATTTCCTTTGAGAGTCCTATACAATGCAAGCTGAAATTATATATATATATTCATCTAAGAGAAATTTCTCAGTCATGCAGGAATGGATAGGTATTCATTAATTAAGCTAACAATTTCACATGTCCTTCAGGTCTCCATGGAGAAGTTTTGTTAAACTCACTGGCACCCAAACGAGGGCAATGATGCCCTCTCGGTATCAGCATGGCAACTCGTCACTGGGACATGAAGTCAAGCAGAATAAATACTTTTATGTGTTAGGCACTATTGGGAGATGACATACCACAGCTAAAATTTGCCTGAGACTCTTTTTACATAAATTACATGTTTGCCTGTCTGTTATATTTCAAGAGAATTATATTAAATGCCATTACTTTTAGTTAGCAGCTTCTGTAACTGTGTAGAAAAGTATTAAAAATTAAACAAATTGAATAGAATATTAAATAAGCCATTTGGGAGTAATAGTGCTTTCCCCACTTAGTTGTATTTTAATTTTTTAAAATAATTTTTATTTTTTCTTTGTAGTTGTAGATGGACAGAAGCCTTTTATTTATTTATTTATTTATTTTTATGTGGTGCTAAGGATTGAACCCAATGCCTCACATGGTAGGCAAGTGGTTTGCCACTAAGCTAAAGCTACAGCTTTAGCCCCATGTATCTTATGTTAATGTATAGAATATACCAGTTTGTAGAGTCCTATCTCCTGAACCTTATTCTTTATTAAGGATTTACCACAAATAAGTATCATTAAGAATTTCAATGTGTTCAAAATTAGAATTATGTTACCTTTTAGCACAAGCAACTAATTACCTTTGTAGAGTACATGCAAAGGTTTAAAAGAATTAAATAATAAAATTTACCCTTCTACTATGTCAGAGAAATTATCCAACACTCGATGTTCTGCTGCAATGGCTTTGTCATCTGGTCGACCAGCCTTTTCCAGAAAGCATAAGGCTGGGTCTGCCCTCATAGTATTATATTTTTCATAGCCTAAAAGAAAAAAGGTCTTAAAATGAAGAAAATAAGAGATTTGTTTTGCCATTATGCTAACTTTGACTACTGAAAAAATTATAATACATGAACTACTTTGCTCATAATGCAGAATATAATTAACATTACTTGGACAGTTTTTGGGTCATAATTTTTTTATAGTAATTTAGAGTCATGAAGGGTTTTAACCTAGTGACTATGAAGAATTTAATTAAGAAATTTACATTATGGTGGTAGGTGTATATAGCAATTTATCAGTAATCTTTTTGGCATTATTCTTATTGCAAAGATGAAGAAACTGAAGTCAGGGCTGGGGATGTAGCTCAGTTAGTAGAGTGCTTGACCGCATGCACAAGGCCCTGGGTTTAATCCCCAGCACCAAAAAAAAAAAAAAAAAAGAAAAGAAAAGAAAAGAAAAGAAACTGAAGTCAAACAATTAAGGTCACACATTCTCATATGAAGAACTAGAAAYTTGTACCTGCAAGTAAATAAGTACTCAGTGAATATTTGATGAATACTAAATCAATGAATGAACACATTTCAGGACTTTTGGACTCTGTCTCACAAGAAAATCTAAGACTACAAATGTTCAGTTTTTCTTGTTCCATTAAATTTCTCAATAACATGTAGATCAAATGCTATTACTATTATTTCATCAAAATAAACAGGAATTTTATGCATTTGTCTTTATTTTTTTGGCATTGCTGGGGGTAGAACCCAGGACTTCATGCATGTTAGGCAAGAGCTTGAAAAGCACTTTTCTCATTTAAGAAAGCAAGCAGAAAGTTTATTAAAAGAGAAAGTGAGAAAAAGATCCAGAACTCCCTGCACAGCATGTTTGGGAGGGGCAAGAGTGCCCTTAAAAAGTACTTTTTTTAGGGGCAGGGGATTTGGCTCAAGTGGTAGCGTGCACGCCTCGCATATGTGAGGCACTGGGTTTGATCCTCAGCACCACATAAAAAAAAATAATAATAATAATAAGTGAAATAAAGGCATGCTGTCTATCTACAACTAAAAAATAAATATTAAAAAGTACTTAAAAAAAAGAAAAAKAAAATTATTCCAATACATGAAAGTGCTGGCAGTTAGCACTGTTTTTTTTTTTTTTTTGGTGCTGGCAATTGAACTCATGGCCTTGTGCAGCACTCACTGCTTTTAATTCCTAGGATTTGTTAATAGGCAAAACTACAAATTAGTCTTTCTCATATTGCTTAAACCTAAAATGCCATGAGTATTGAGCATTTAGACAAATGGGACTTTAGATAAATATAGCATTTTTGGMAAGTCACAGAAAACCATCAAAATAATTGTTTATCATTAATAGGAGTGGGCATGTCTTACCTCCTGATTTGTGGAACCTTAACTTACAGATCCTACAATATTCAGTGGGGTAACATACTGGGTAAAAGTGATTAAAGAACACATGGGAGACTCCCTACTTTGAGATTTAACTATTTACCTATTGTTCCTTCAACATCTACTCAGCGGAATTAACTGTGAATAAGTTTCTTTCTCAAATACAAATTTAATTTACTGAAGATCACTTGTATACCTGAAGCTCTGGGTTTGACCCCCAGTTCCAAAAAAAAAAAAAAGAGTTCAAGGTCAATGAGATAATCTGATTATGTATGAGCATTTTGATAAATGTCCCATCTGTGAACAAAAACCTTCAAAAGGAAAGGCTAAAAGAGATACTTACCATGCTTAAAGACTCCAATAAGTAGGGATTTGTCAGCTTCGCTGTCCCACCATGTTGTTGGAACCTCCAATTGATCCACTACTGGGAACCATATGTCAATCTCACTAAAGGCATATAAGAGGGCACAGTCAGGAAAGCAATCAATGTTGGAAATTAAAGTGATAATCCTTGGAAAGATTATTACAGTTATATTCCTTTATCCATCAATTTAAATGTTCATGTATCTGACCTATTTCCTTGCACTAGTGTCAAAGTATTAGATTAGAAATCTAATATGAAAATTGTCAGATATTACAAAGTTAGTACAAAAAGTAAAGTAGACCATTATTCCTAGAATAAAGCAGGGCATAAAAATCAAACAAAGAAATCACAGAAATACTTTACCTGGCAATGGCACCCCCTAACACCTTCTCTGCCTGGTCTCCAATAACCTCCTGTCTTAGGTAGTATAACATTCGTACTCGCAAAAGTACCCTAGAAGGGTGGGAAGAAAAAGGTGGCTTACTAACAGGGTACAAAGTTTGAGGAGGGACATATCTTGACTAAATTCCATCCTTACTTGTTACACTGATGTTTCAAGTGCTTCTTATAACTCTCATCTTGGAACAGAGTATCAGGGTTATACTTCCGGATCCAATCTGCCTTATGTATATCAAAAGTACTTTGTGACTTTACTTTTTTCCCCTTGCGTCCACGGGGCACAGGGATAGATAGACCTGGGAAAGGGGAGACATTGAAGACTTGGATTGAGAAAAACCCTTAGACTTGCAAAGGACTACATAATTTTTAAAAAGATAAAAACTAAAGGGTTGATAATTACCTGAATGATTCTGCAATTCTTTTGTCTTGCCATTTTCAGCAGGGCTAATCAAGTCCCAAATGAAGCCTTTGATATTTTCATCCCCACGGTAGTGTAGCAGACAGTACACAAGGATGGCACGACATATTGTCTCCACATCTCGTTCAGTCATACGTCGTTTGAAGCGTCCATGAGACAAAATATCTCGCCACCGTCCCCAACTAAAAAATAGAAAAGGAAACAATAATATTTTGGGGGGGAACTCTAATTCAGTGATATTCCTCTGACTCCCAGAATCACATCTCCCAAAATACGGAAGACAAAATCTTGAAAAGCACTGTTAAAAAAATAGAATGAACTCCCTCCAAGACACAAAATTTTCATATGATCTTCTATGTGGCCATATATCAATCAGAATGTGAATGTTCTACTTTTAGTGACAAGATGGGTTCTTACCCATATACCAACAGGTGCTTTTCTACCCGAAAGCAGTCAGTGCGCCCATAGGCATGATGGCGGTCATGTCTACGGGARCGTGGTCGTTCATCATCCTCACTTTCCAAATCAGAGAATTCTACTAGGTCATCATCTTTCAGAGTGCTGAAGTGGCGGGTCTGTTTCCGTACTCTAGGTGTGTCAATCACCAAGTTATTCTATGCAGAAAATAGAAGGAGGAATAACTATCCATGATATGCTCATTATCAAAGAATTAAGATAATTATGGATTGAATAGTTTTGGATATGAGAATGCTCAGATTTTTTTGGTGTTCTTTTTGTACACATTAAATCATCTGCAGTGACTCAGGAAATAGAATTAAGTGGTAGATATCTAAATAATTTTCTAAGTTCTCCAAGGTAGAAAGTTTTTATGATAGCCCTCGTATATAACAATATACCATTCATAAACTGATTAGCATTGAAGAAACAGAGCAACTACAAAGACTGAAAGTTGTGAGTCTTCTGCAACACTTCCTCCCTAAAGGAAGAATAAGCTCACCTTGCTATTGAGCACATCCATGTCTAAGTCAGCCTTTTTGGCCCATTTTTGCCAGAAGTTGGGATCATCCAGAGAAATATCTGTTCTATTTTCAGAAGCAACGAAGCTTGCCTAGTGAGGAACAAAAGCAGAGAAAAGTTAAATACAATGTGTTTTTAAGCAATGGGAAATCAGCAACTGCACTTAAAAACCATTTAAATTCTGGGGATTCCTTTCTCTATCTCTGCTTTTCTATTATCTGACAAAGACAAAACATGCCTTGGCAAAGGTAGAACCTTTTCCTTCAGATTCAATGGTAATGGTTGTTGTTCGCCTTAACAAGATCTGGTCTATATCYTCTTCACAAAATTTGGAGCCCTCATCATCTTCCTCCATTATAGCTGCATAAGCTCCTTTTCTTAAGAGATCTTCAATCTCCTTCTTGGAGAATTGCTGGATCTGAAAACATCAAGAGAAAGATGAAAAGTCTACTAAGAGAATATTATCTAACCATGTCATAATATTATATTGTAATAAATAATAATTAATACAACTATTTATAATAAAACTTGTGAAAAAATGAAAATCAAGGCAGTCAATTCCTATACAAAACCAGCTTTTATCTCCATCACTGATTCACTACATACTTAGCTGTAGACTATGACTTACTCCTGTAATGTTGCCATCCCGACCGCTCATAGACTGAAGTACAGCTTTATCCAATCCCAACTTGAGGCTAGCCTTATCAAACATCTCCCTT